AGCTTATTCCAACTGTATTAAGTAGCTTTATCGTGAGTTTTCACTTCCAAAACATGTGTACGAAAAACATTGTTCACTGTTTTTTCCAAAGAAAGTGAAGGCGACGACAATATGATGTTAAAATAAAAAGAAAAGTTCTGACTGTAAATTATGCAAATCCCTAAGTTTTATGTTAGGCATAGAGATTGATTAAAAAATCAATAGGCCCGACTGACAGTAACCCTATGACACTCCGAAGACTACGATTAGGTACGGTTTTATCGACGCAAGTTTTGTGGGCGTGGTCTTTCCCGGTCGAGCTGTCCCATTAGTGTTACTAGGTATACCGTTAATGGGTTTATCCGTGGCACGACATGACTACTATACCGTGGGTTTCTGAGACCAAATGACACAGACGAAGATATGTTTTATATATATTTTAGTCTCGGAAACCAACCAACGGTTAACTAACATTTCGTTATCAAAACTAATTTAAAGAAAGAATATATTATGAAATTCTTGATTAGTTAACACATTCGTCTAACAACACGTTCTACACAAAGACAGATAAAAAGTCGATAAACTGATATTGTTTCTTCATCTTAATACTTGAAGAAAAGCACGTGATATGACGTACAACACTTAAGTAACATGTTAACGCAATATTAACTAATTCAAAGGGCTGTATGACTAATTAGAATCTTTTAAACGTAAGAATATTAATAACTGAAATAAATGGCCACTAATAAGACTAGGATATATGTTCGAATAAACGTTCTGAGGAAACATTAAAAAACCCTGACCGCAGAAGAACTCATATGCCACTTAACATTGTTGACTTAACATCTGAGCTAATGGCCTAAAATTATCCGTAAATAAGCTGAAATTTTCCATTTTTAATCATTTTTACATCGTAAAGGTTTTAGTAAGAATTCGAAAAGGCTAAATGTTGGGTAAAGCTTATATAACAATGATTTAATTTTTCGACATACTATTGAGATTTCTCAATGCAACAATATAAAAAATTTCGAAAGCTGCTGCATAACAAATATTCTTACTAGACGTATATTTCTTGCACCTTTCTGCTTATCTTGGCAACACAAATTAGAAAGTAAAGCAGTTTAAGCAAATGCTTTCTTACAAAATCAGATTGCATTTTTAACTAAACTCGATGCACATATGTAGCAAATAAACATCTAGAAACAAAATATATCAGAATATTTCCCAAAAAAAAAACAACAAATGCAATGTAACATTAAATTTAGTTATTGAAACAGGTTATGTTAATAAGAGCAATCAATTTGGCCTACCAATTTTTTTCGTGAGCAAAGAAACCGGTTCTATTCTATCGCGGTGCCGGACTCCCGCGTCGGCGTTCACTGTATAGGTTCCCCGTCGACGTAACATCGTCCCTGTTCTCCTGACCTCTATAAAAACCACTTACGCACCACACAGACCACATACACATTGTCATACAGAACGACACACCGCAAACACCACCGTTAACGGAAAACTCTTAACATTGTTGGAACATTAATTGTCTGAGTTGAAATGCAAACGCGACGGTTAGGAAGTGGGTTAACGAACCGATCGGCGCTAACTTGCACCATGCTACACCGAGTGTGACCGCCGACGAGCGAAAGGCGAGGAAACCGAGAGTGCGCGCGGTTATGTCGCGAGTGGCAGGATGGCGCACTTGCGGTCGGCAGATAGCGAGATCGCCGTCACTCGCTGATAACTCGCCCGATAACAACTGATCATATCGCCTTTCGTACTGAGAGTAACTAGACAAAAACAAATGATTGCCGGACAGTTCCGACATACTAAATCTATTTGGGATATAGTGCAATATAAACGCCCAATTATGACACTAAGCTACCACTTCCTAACATTTGATTCGTCTTCTTTGCCGGAGATTGTAGAAGGCACGGTGTAGTTCAAACGCAGTATTATTACTTATCAACGATAACGGTCAAATCTGCTGCGGAGAAAACTTATCGATTTCCCTATTAGTTACCATGCGGGTTACCGAGTGTAACGCTAATAGTACAAATTGATCCTCGATAGTGAATATCGATGTATTATTTTTAGCTTTGAAATTCAAATGATCACGGGAGATTGTGTATCTATTAACATCGCACTTTTTTATTTATTTTTACATTAGCATTAAATAAACAAGTTCTTGAGCGGTATTTAGAACGCTATCTGGCTATCTCGTTCGTAATCCACAAAGCGGAGTCAAGGTTATGCTGCAGCGTTATCAAAAATGCAAGGCTCACTCCCCAGTCTGCGTCGAAGTAGTCAAGGGACACGCCCACGAAATTATTTAACACGATTGCTAAAAGTTTAACAATTGCTTTCTCGGACTCATAATAGAAAAATATTCTGAAATGCATCAATTGGGCAAAATAGAAAAGCAATATTTAACTTTGTATATAAATCTTTGGATAACTCTTCTAATAAACAAATGTTTCTTACGTTAACATTGCCTTGTATATGAAGAGCCTTAGTGTAGTTGATTTTGCCTTTTATATATTAAAAAATTTATTACTAACAAATATGTATGAACTTCATGTTCATTTAAAAAAAAATTAACAATGAATGTAAGGAAATTGCAATTAAAAATATAACGGGACATATAGAAACAAACTTAGAAAAGCCATTACACTGTAATATTCAATGACTTTCGTTTAAAAAAAGACCATTAATTTCATCTGTGCAGAATAATCTTCAGACTAATATTATAAATGCCAAAGTTTAGATGGATGGATATTTGTTAAAAGATATCTCCAAACAGCTCAATGGATCTTGATGAATTTGAAAAATGTAGAGTAATCTGGAAGAACACTTAGACTACTTATTTTCTTTTTTAATTACAAGTGAATGGAATAATTGATCATCTAATTGATGATCTAGTAGTGATCAATCATTCATTATTATGGCGTAAAAATATTTATTTATTTGTTTCTAGTTTTGTGTATATTCAGCCTGTGACTCATCCCATTTTACTGTACTAAATATCTTTATATATATAATTCTTCTGTGAGTGTGTATGTCACTGAACTTCTCTCAAACGACTGGACCGATTTTGATGAAATTTTTTGTGTGTGTTCAAGGGGATCTAGGAATGGTTTAGATTCACAATTTTCATCAAATATTTACTTCATATTAATTTATTAAAATTAAAGACGTGTAGACAGGACAACGTCTGTCGGGTCCGCTAGTATTTATATATATTTCAATTTGGAAGTTTACAGTTAATAAAATTCTATGTTAAAATGTTTTACAGTAAGCATTTTAAAATATCTTTAAATTTGGATTTATCGCAAAATTTTTTCTTTTTTTTTAAGACATAAGTATGACGCAATATAATATTCCAAGTAATTGAATCATCTTTACATGTGATGCAACACAAAAATATTGTCTATGACTTAAATATTTTGCTCACATCCAACGTTAAATATTTTTTACAAGCCTTTATGCTATCGCATATCTAGCAATATCTAGCAATGCTATAGCATATGCTAGAACAAAACATATACAAAATAATTGGTACATTTCTATTAATTTCAATCTTTTCGAAAAACGGCAAATTTTTTGCTTTAATGCTTTTTTTGCCATTATGTAAAAAGGGAAATTGCTTAAAAAATATTTTAATTATCATTCCTGTATTATGAAAAACCAAACTGTTCTAAAATTGAACAGAAAGTGCAATATAATCTTAAATTACAAACATAATCATAATATTTGCACTTGTTGTGCCATTGATGCTTCTAAATAATCAATCCCACCATCTCATGCTATAACCTTTGTTCATTTCATTGTAGTAGTTAGTTTATAGTTACAAAATCATAGGATACAGTTTGTTAGCTTGTGCCGAGGAAATTAATTGATTATATATAGTAAAAATTTGTTCTCTATATATTTTAGTGTGTTATTAGTATAAAAACATTTCTATATACAATATCCTATTCAAAATGTGATGTTTCAAAAAAAACTTTTACATTTTAATTACAAGGAGATAATAATCTTTAGCTGAAGTTGGCCAGAGTCAAATTTCTAGAAAATGTGTTCCCACATCATGCATTGAACTCGTCGGAATAATTGTTATAAACAACACCATAATGCAAATTTATACTATTTATCAATCTATCACAATATAAGTACTGGCAAGAGATTGTTAATTTTATATGTAAATCATTTATGTGTGTTGTAACATTACGAAAGTAAAATTTACTTTTTTGTAAATTAGTTAAATATTAACAAATATTTTATTCCCTATTCCAGTTACAATTTATTTTATTCAATTAAAGATTTTTATATAATTCATTCAATACTAATTCGAAACATAGGTTTTAATAATTCATAGATAAATGATAACTTTTACTTCAGTTGTAAAAAATAAAGAAATAAAATTTAATTAAATTATTTCTTTTTACATGATCTGAGATCCATTGTTTCTAAATGTGCCCTTACGTAAAATTAGATCCTAACATTTTAATACATTTTTCACACTTGATGAAATGTGATGTATAAAAAGGTTATCAAAACTTTTGGGCTATATAGTTAGTTCTAACTATAGATCCTATCATTAATTACGTCATTTTAGAGTAACCTCAAAGTAATAGTAGAATTACGACGACCATGATTGAATGGTTCTTATGTATCGAAAGGTATGTTACTACATAACCAAATTCTAGATTAAAGGTAAAACGTGATGTATTCAAAAAAAGTAGCTTAAAATACTACGCATTTTGTTGAAAAATCGTATTTTGACGTGATATCTGTCACACGCCAAGCCAAGGCTTATGTGGCAAATCTAAGGCACGGCCTGTAGCCATTTTTGTACAGAAGAGATATATACAGTTCTGTCAATATCGATTTAATTAGTAAAAGCACGCAGTATTCTTGGAATTCATCCCAATTTGCCAAATTGCAGTCATACTACAATGTCAGAATGGAATACGTCACAGTGTAAGAAATCACGATGGCCGACAAAAGAATGGTTAGGTGGTACTTACTGCAAATTTTTACTCCTCCGAGAGGTGGTTTCGGTGGTTGATTTTCGAATGTCTTTCGAACGGATTTGCCGCCCTCGGCGAAAGACGTGGTCCTAGGGCGCCCGCTCATTATTATAGGTATAAAATAAACGGCCGAATCCTGAACTTCATAGATACTACTTCACATTTCTCGTTACCACCCTTGCTAGCACTCGCACTGAACTCTATCACTTCGCCGACGAATTACTATATTAGAAATATAATAGTCAAAATAGTATCACTAATAGAAAGTTTAAAACAAAATAAGATGGTCTTAGTATGATTTTACAATATCATTTTGTTAATTTTTCAAATTTACATCAATAAAGTGAACGACAAATTTTTAGTTTCTTCGGACTTCACAGACTCGTTCGCTCGGTCAATCGGCTAAATTCGGGTCCGTTCGGAAAATACTCGGTAGTTCGATCAGTGACGTCCTACTAGAAGTCCGATATACGCATTAAAATATTTTTTCTATTCATTTAATTTATAAGAATATTTATAAAAGAAAAAAGTGAGCTGAATTATTCAAGGAATATAATACTATATAATGTATAGATTTCCTAAAAATTTGAATCTTTGTTCTACTTCCTTCATGTATAATTTTACATTTTAAATGCCGGTTAGACACGAAAAATCACAGCAGCAATCTAAAGACGGAATAAAAAAAATACGAATCATGTTTTAACTAGAAAAAGGATAAAATCGAGATTTTCTCTGCTTAGATACACAGGCTATAAAGTATGACGCACACGATATAAAATAGCCCCATCTATTGAAGCAATGCCTAAACAAACAACAATGGTCTTGTTTCAAATTTCAGAATCATGCCAAAGTAATGAATTACAATAATTTTATTTTTTGTTTTTTTATGGTCTTATAAATTTCCCTTAAAGTTCCTTTGTTGTACTGAACGAGAAATTACCTCAAACTATACATGGTAACATAATATGTATATAGACAAATCACGACGAAATGAAATGGGCAGGGTAAGACGCGCGTAAAAAGTCAATACAATCTTCGTAGGAGTTATTGTTAATATTACAGTTTCAACTATTTTATACTTTATTTGAAGCTAAATAAATAAAACAGTAAAAATATCTTTATGTATTATAATCTAAAAATGATACGACTAGTTTCCAATTATCTTTATATCGGTCGGTCGTGTACCCAATAGCCAATAGTAGGTATATACTTACACAAAGCTTTATTGTGTCGTCATCAGAATCAGACATGTCAGTGGTCGCGGCGTGCAGCACAGCGGCGCGGGGCGCAGGGAGCAGTTGCGCGCGCGCAGCGATAGAGGCGGGAGGCTCTTCCGCGGCCGGCTTACGACCCAATAATGTAAATCAAATTCATCTTTACGCTTAATGAACAGTGCAGTGGGGTCCGTGATCAAATTCTACCATCGCAATGGAGTGCTATACATCAGATAGTTGCGATAGTGACAGCAGGGAGCAGAAAACTCTTAATCTAACAAGCAGAGTGCTCGACTCAATAACTATATCGGCAGAACTGCAGTGTATTATCGATGAAAAAGATTGTGCGGAAAATTACGAGATCATTCTTCTTAACAGCAACCGAATTAAAGCGCTGCCCGAGTCCATAAACAGGTTCTGCAACTTAAAAATTCTCGATGTTAGCAACAACAGATTGGCGATACTCCCAGACCTGCTCAAAAACTGTCCACTGACATCACTCATTGCCAAACACAACCAACTCACCAACGAGTCGCTGCCCAAAAGCTTTTTTTCGAAGGGAAACACATTGAGAGAACTGAATTTAAGCGGAAATCAACTGAATTTCTTTCCAGAACAAGTGTTAGATTTAAATTCACTGAAATATCTATATTTAGGTGGTAACAGAATAGTCAACATACCAAAGGATATATGGAAATTGAACAGGTGGGTAACAATGATTCAACCTAAATCCCTTCAAAGATAAATAATATACTAAAACGGGTCTGAACCTAAGTTAATAGGAATGATAATGTATGAACTTATCTCGTATAAGATAAAAAAAAATCAGTCATATACTAAATATTGTCCAAATTCTGCACTAATTACGACTGTTTTAATGAGATGTACGTAATAGATATTAGATCTGTATACTAGTCAATAAAGTATGTACATTTATGCAACTGTTGAAATCAAATAAAAATGGTGTTCGTTAATATAAGCACCAAGAACACAAATATAAATTACCGAGGTTGATACTAATTGATTATTAATGTCAAACACAGAAATAATTAAGATAAGAACATTAGTGATAATAACAATCGACATTAGGTATAGACCAAAGTTAAGTAACGATTATACCAACATTATATAATTATTCAAATTGAAACACGCGCTCCTAGCAGTGAAGCTACTAGTTTGAAGATACGTGATACGTCTGACAATAACATCTTAAATGCAAGTCATGGACAAACATGGAGTAAAATCTTTATGTACGTCGACATTATAAATACAAAGAACTAAGATAAGTTTATTTTACAAATTATCCAAAACATCTAGTCTAGTACACTCACAGATCCTGTAAGTGTTTAATAAAATTATAATAGTCGTAATTAATTCAAAGTTGTGAAACAAAAACATCCTATCTTCTTTCCGCGAGCGTTATCTGAAATTATAAATAAAGAAAAAGATACGATATTCTGTATTATCTCGAATGCTTAAGTTGATCCTTAGTTCTAGACATAACGTCATTTGATACGAAAATTGTCATCGTGAATTATAATAATGTAAAAAAAAATATCAATGGATTATTCCATTGATCATTATTTTACATTGTTTGATTTAAACCATATTATTACCTGTTTATTAGAGCTTCGAATAATGAAACCTTGAACAAAAAAAAAACTGCTGACTCGCATAAATTGTCTGCGTAGTAGTTTATCAATAGGTTATCATGTCCGGTGTTTTAGGAAGTTTATTACAAGCTAACAGTGTGTTTCCAATATCGAAATACCCATACAAAACACTGGGACCATTCCCATTCAACCTTTTTTAAATAACAACGTGCATTTCTAAAAGATGTTAAGGCAGTGGGAACCCACAGAGAGGTTTAAACTAAATAAATAAATACAATCAAACATAGGTAAGCAAATGTCTAAGGGACTGCGATATATTTTCACCTACGGAGTTAGTCTGTCGGTACTGGTCAACGACTCTCCCTAATAGAGGTTTCTCGATTATACATACATTTGTGAGAGCCATGGCTCCTGAAATAGGTTGCCCCGTGTTTCAGGAGTACTAAAATTTCAAAGTACAGTGAATCTGTGGATTAACGTTTAAAATATATTCCATTATCAAGTCTACAAGCTTAGACCAAATGTTAGATAACATTGAAAATCAATATTTATATTAGAAGATTCTGAAGGATCGCCTCATAAAGGTCAATATTTCGGACTATATTTAAAAAATGATCAAGTTATGTTTACTGCTTCTATACAATAAAACAATAGGGCCTACGTGACCTTTAGATAATATAGGCGTTTGTTAAACATAATTTTATAGAGCGAGCTCTTTGTTTAATATACCGTTCCTAGTTTAATAACGAGGCTATCAAATACGTACTATATTGTGACATATTTACGACGTTTATTATATCAACTTATACATTAAATTATGGCTGGAGATATAACAGTTCGCAGCTTAAGATAACATTATTTTTTTCGTTTTATCGTATCATCTCGCGACACAACACTCCAACGCTAATATATACAGTAAGTACACCATTAAAAAAAAACAAAAGGTGTACCAACATGATCTATGAAAAATAAGGCAATTCTGTCCAAATTACGGTTTAAGAGTTCTTAAATCTCATGGCCTAACCTATAGAATGTTATTTTGCTTGCAACGGACCCATTTTGCATTTTCTCTTGTCTTTTCAAAATGTTTAGCTTTATATCTATATTTAGGTTTATAAATCCTCAGTTGTGTCAATTGTAGTTAATTCAATCTGTTTCGCAGCCTGCAAATACTTTCAATTGGAGGCAATCAAATCATTGAGGTGCCGGAGTCGGTTGGCGCGTTGACGTCACTCCAGGCGCTAGTCCTGAGTGACAACTTCATCGAGCAGCTGCCAGCGAGCATTGCCAACCTCAAACAGCTACGCTCCCTGTTAATACACAAGAATAAACTTAAGACTCTGCCGCCGCAAATAATCAAATTAAAATGTTTAACCGAGGTAAGATCATAAGATTTGTCGTTATCTTTAGACAATATAGCATATGTAAAAACTTTTTGTATATGCGGGAATCATGAATCTCATCCCGGGCAAAGACAAAATTACGCAGATTACTATACACGGAAATCTTTTGGTTGATTTTAAGATCAGAGGCATGAATAGTTAAACTAACCGGGAGAAAGTACTGCATGCATACAAACAAATAAGTACTTCGTAAGGACACAAATACGCCAAAACGACTTTATTGCCCCCTCAGATGAAATGGGAACATCAAAATAGCAATAATAATGAACGTCTATAATAATGACAGCAGATAACCTCATATAAGGTTCGTGAGGTCGGAATCTTGTTGCCCCTGGCCTTATGTTGCCGAGAACTAAGTAAATTGTGATACTGTTGCTACCAGTCTAATACATCGTCAGTGTAACCTTACACGTTATTAAATAAATAATTCAAGCAAATAACGCCAACTGTGTTTAGGACTTTGAATGTAAATCAATATCGAATAAGATTTTGAATAGTGTTTATGTTTGATTAATGAGATAGTCCAGAACAATCGCATCGCATCCGATTGTCTTCAGTTACTGCCATCTTACAGCATCAAATGACCGTCTCAACGGCGACGCCTTTATGCATGCCCTGGTTCTCAGGATTTCTATTTCGCTCTTTTTTGTATCATTTATTTGAGTTTATGTGAGACTGTGTAAATTTGCAATACTGTGGCGTCTCTCTCTGTCCAGTTTCCTACCCTAACGCCAGCTCTGCTTTGCGGGAAAATTGCGGCATCGCACCGCTCATATATGATAGCCAAGCCCAAAAAAATCCCGAATTCACCAATCTATTAGTCCGTAACTGGGCGTAAGAATAGCTTTTAATTTAAGTAATAACTTCGTTTAAAACCGCATTTTACATGGGTGAAAATAATAAATACTACATTTGTTTAGCCCGTAATAATGTAATGAAAAAATATACAATGTAATTAATCGTTTGTTATTAAAAATAATGGCATTCTTTACGTTTACATTGATATTTTGGTTTTTATAACCTTACTAAAGGAAACTCATTAATATTGTTTATTTAACGTTGAATAATATTTTTAATAACTTTGATTACAGTTGAGTCTACGCGATAACCCTCTGGTGGTGAGGTTCGTAAAAGACATGACATTGCAGCCACCATCATTGCTGGAGCTCGCGGGTCGGAACATCAAACTCTACGAGATACCAATTAGAGTTGGTGAAGTACCCCTGACGTTGATCAAGTATTTAAAAGCAGCGGAACGTTGCGTTAATCCAAAATGCAGAGGTACGTAAGATAGTAAATTAAAGGCAAGTTTCCGCTGCCGAAAGGTCTTTAATAGATATTTTTCTAATAAATATGAAGCAGAAGACATATATTTTTACTATAATTTTTAGTTAACAAAAATAATATTTCAACACAATTTGCAATGATAATGTAAATATGTAAAATATGTAAGATAACCTTTAATAGTAAAATAAGACTGACGGATTTGTTTTCGTTATGGAATATGCTGTAACACTGTCGTATACTTGGCATTGCAATATAATGCTACTAAAGTTATTTAGTTAGATACTAGTTATTAAAATTTTAGTACTCTTAAACCTGTGCAATTTTTCCACCGGACACAGCCCACAAACCTTGCTGAGGTATCTCTCTTGCTATTCCTACTATTAGACAATTTTAAACACTTACTTACGTTTATTACATCTTTCAATTTATCTACACAGAAGGCAACGAATTATCGGATCACGGTCTATAGTTGGAATTAAATGCGTTACAATTTATCATTTTTACACCTTAAAATATAGTTTTACAATGATTCATTTTAATTGAAGGTGAAAAAATATAGACGGAAAAAATTATCAACTTAGTAAAGTGAAAGTATTCGAAACTATATTATTTATGGTTAAAAGGAGGGTAATTTTTTGGATAAAAAGTAAAAATTCGCTTTAGAATTAAAAAAAAAACAAAACATGGTTTAATTGAAATGTTACAGAAGTGATATTACACATAAAAATAATGTTAACTAACCTAAAATTTTCTGACATGTATTTTTCTTTTTCAAACGTTATCTTTATTTACAGGCGTTTTCTTCGATAATCGCGTGGAGCACATTAAATTCGTCGATTTCTGCGGCAAATACCGCATACCTCTGCTTCAATACTTGTGCAGCTCAAAATGTATCACCGGAAGCTGGGAGAGTCGTGAAATAGACAGCAACACTAATACTCATATGATGCGTAAAGTTCTACTCGGTTAATACACCAAATCAATATATTGTCTTGGCTATGAAATCTACCTTTAAATTTTAAACATTCTTGTGATCAAATTATGTTATTCAAATATATTGTTAACTATAAAAGTGATTTTTAAAGTTTTAATTTTACTTTTATTATTATTTGTCAAATTAGAATTTACATATTTGTACAAAAACTGTATTAGAAATAAGCAATTTACTATGGGACCATGTTAAATAAAAAATCATTATTGTTTTTAAATTATGTCTATTGTTATTTAAACACTATATACCTAAAGATTGTTAAATGATTTGATTGAATTCAACAATTTATTAGCTTTCTTGTAATAATTTCATTCTCTCCTCTTTACCTCTTAGAATTGCGGCTTTGAATAATTTGCAATATAATTCTATAGCACATGGGGTATCATCATTGCCAGGTACTGGGTATGTAACTAAATTAGGATTGCAATTACTGTCTACAATACCAATGGTAGGTATTAACATTTTTGCACTATCTCTAACAGCTGTGTGTTGACTGAGTATATTATTTTGTGTATTCAAGAATATACACAAGTCAGGCAACCTCGTAATGGCACCAAATTGATGGTTAGCATTTGTAAAGATACCACCACGCCAGAATCTTGTATGAGCATATTCACCACACTCTTGAGCAGTTCTTTCTACCAAATGTGCATTTAATGCATTTCTATTGAAGAAACAAATTATTCCACCTCTATATGCTATATGGGCAGCGAAATTTAAAGCTTTACGTAAATGATCTGCTGTAATATCCAAGTCAAATATTAGATGTCCCAACCTTGAGCCGTACAAATATGGTGTCATATATTCATTTAAAGATCCTTCTTTGTGCCCAAAGTGCACTCTTGCATCAAATAAATCTTTAACGGTGAATAAATTATGTACATGAAAGTAATCTGGGTGTTCTAGTGGATTACTTCTTTTAGGCACAGATTCTGAAATAAAATAACAATAAATATTTATCTATTTTATAGTTTTAGGAATGATTGATGAAGTTTATTAATGGCAACTAAAATGTATGATTATAAAGCAAACATTGTTTAGACCTCAACTGCTAAATTTGGACATTTTAATAATGTAAGTTTGTACCTTTTCTATTTATCGAAACTTGCTATACAGATTGCTTTACGTACAAGTTAATTTTCACGTTACAGTACAAAACGAAAATCACATACCCTGGGTATTTTCTGGTTCTTTTTGTGGTACTGTTTGAGCCACGGTTGAATTATTCCGCAGATATAAGCCACTGTTTTTGATTGAATTCCCTAAAATCAACAGAAAATTAGCTCAAGAAAATATTTGTTTTTAAATCTTATGGTCACTAATAATCAACGTACTTAAATATCGAGGCAACATGGCTATTTAATATATATAAACTTTATGACAGTAGATACGTATTATTTTGTATTAGATATGAAATATTCAATGTATTTCAAATATCTATTCAGTTTTTTAGGTTATACTTATTTTGACAGATACTCATTTTACAAAGAACATTTCGGTGACACAGTGTATAAAACCGAAAACATGTTTTACTCTATCCGTTATCTTCTCTATTATTTATCAAATAATAATATTGTCAATGTCAGACTGCTGCAACCTGCAACATACATTTTATAAACTTTTGTATTTTAAATTCTTTATTTCAGTTTACATTAAGCGTAATTATTCTTAAATCAAAATAATGCGACATTAAATTTGCTTAAATAAGGCTCAGAGATGGCTAAGAAAAATATTGAGGATGTAGACTTGTATGCTATTTTAGATGTCCAGATTTCTGCTACTGAATCAGAGGTATGGGTATTTTTATTTTTGTGAGAGTTATTTGTATCTTATCTAGATATATAGTATTGCAATATTTTTAGATCAAAAAAGCGTATCGTAAAAAGGCTCTACAATGTCACCCGGATAAGAACCCTGATGACCCTAAAGCGGCAGAAACTTTCCACGAATTGTCTAGAGCTCTAGAGATATTGACAGACGCGGGTGCTAGAGCTGCGTACGATAAAGTTCTGAAAGCTAAAGCTGCTGCTAAGCTACGTCATAAACAATTAGATAGTAAGCGTCAGAAACTAAAGGAAGACCTTGAAAGAAGGGAGCGTGAAGCAGCTTTGGGAAAAGATGCAAACCTGACAGATGAACAAAAACTAGCTGCAGAAATACAAAGGTTACAAAAAGAAGGCAGTCGTCTTCTCCAGGAAGAACAACAGAGAATCAAGGAAGAAATTAGAAGAAATAAGGCTGGACTCAATCAACCTTACTGGGATCCTAGCTTGAATAGAATAAAGATAAAATGGAAAGCTGATAAAAATGATCCAAATAATGGTGGTTATGATGAACCTTCTTTAAGAAGATTTCTAAAAAAATATGGCAATATTTCAGCTCTGATTATTTCTCCTAAGAAAAATGGCAGTGCTTTAGTGGAATTTACAACCAAAGAAGCTTCGGAAATGGCAGTAGAACTAGAAAAAGGTAATTAACTATTAATTGTGACAATTTTTAGGATTACAAGATACCTAAATGTACTGCTTTTATGAATTCATAAAGATTATACCTTTATTCAGATCATTTGTCCATTAACTGCTTGAGTATTTAAAAACATCCAACAGTATTGTTCTAACCTCTCCATTACTTTATTTCAGGTTTAGCAGAAAATCCATTAACTTTAAAATGGCTGAATGAAAGGCCAGTATTAACAACAAAAAGAGAGCAAGGAGCACCTTCATTGCTAACAGAAAGGGATTATGAATCTATTGTTTTGACCAAAATGCGACAAGCTGCAGAAAGACAAAGGCTAATGGAGGAAATGATGAAAGAAGATCAAGGGTTATGACATCAATAAAATTTATTAAAATAATATTTTTAGTTTGATTAATGACTATTTTTCTTTTTCTGTATTTTTGAAGTTTCTTTCCTTTGCCTATACATTTTAATATGAGAAAATGTTAGCATAAAATGTCCTTAAAATGTCAGCGGTATTACAATTAAACAAGGACTTGCTTATAATTTTTATACTTTATTCTTCATTGATGTCTCAAAAGGCTTCCATTCGTTTACAAATTCTAAAACCTTTTGTCTTTGAACATCCCCATATTCTCTTTGAGGATTTTTCCATAGGTTGTGATTTAAGTCTAAAATGCCACCAATAATTTCCTGAAAGAAAAAAAACATAAATTAAACTACTGCTTCTTTATCACTAAACACAACTAAGGGAAGACATAACATTTGATATTAATATTGTAAAGTACAACAAAGTGTCTCACCTCAGCAAATGTCTTTGGAAATAACTGTTGATCTTCTATAACATGTGCAAACCCAGGATCCATACCAAAATCTACCCAAAAGTAGGGTAAACCTTTTGGAACACCCTTTCTAATATTTTTACCTTTTAGGTCTACAACTTTTTTATTCATAGACCATTCTGCTTCACATTCAAGTAAAGCCTTTTTGAAGTAAATTGAAGCCATGTCTCCAATGTCTCTCGGCAGAGGTACACAGTTGATTACCATGTGCGGGTATCTGTGAAGCCTTGTAGCAGTCTCGAAAAACACTACATCTTTGTTTTGACAGTTGAAGAATTGTGTGATCATTTTCCTGTAGTTCTGAAATTCAGAGAGAAATAAATTACCTCATTAGAATGACACAAATAATTATAATAACTATTAATGTACATAAAATTTTGGTAATAATTATTCTAGAGTTGCAGCTACATACTAGTTGATAGCTCAAGTTCCTTAAAATATTTAAAAGAAATATGAATACTAACCAATATTTCTTCCCAAATATCTTCATCTAAGGAAGTAACACATGTATTGTGCTGCAGAGTTGTTATAATACAATGCCCTTTGACAAGTGATTTCTTAGCTGGTAACGCCACATACACCTTACTGCCATAACTTACTATTAAATGTTTTAACATATTTTTAGAATCAATGCAATATTCACATCCTTCTAAAGATCGCTCCAGTTTCATGCTCTGATTAATAGCATTTTGTCTTTCTTTTTCATTATCCTTAGCTACATTTCTATTCTTTGATATTTCATCTACAAATATGTCTTCCAAGTCATCATTAGGGTTTCTATGTTTTGCCGCTATTGCAGCTAACTCTGCATCTTGGTCATAATTGGTGCCATACTTTTCTTGTTCAAACTGGAATAAGAAATTTTTAATAGTGAAGAAATCTATTTAAAGCAATGTAATGGTTCCCGTTTGCATGAAATGGGCTTTTTATACACTGAGAAACAGCAAAACAAACAATACAATCTCAGTAATCTGGCAATATGAAAAACAGATGTTGAATTATTTGAATGTTCGGATTGCTGGATTGTATAGATACATCTTAATAAATAAAATGAAGTGTTTCTTAACTATTTAACAAATAAATATGACAAGTTTTGAGTTTTATGTAAAACTGGGTGCGGTGGATTTAGGTGATGTTAGCCACATTATTGGATATGTTAGTCTATCGAAGTGTCAGATTAGTTGAATTTAAATATTGTATATTTACCATTTGTGATAAATTGTATTTATCATCATTTCCAAAGTACTTGACTCTTTGATTGGCGTTATGAGTTTCTGCTTTTCGTTTTCCACCTTTACTTCTTGGATCACCTGACAAATCTGCCTTTGATAATGGCCTACTGTTTCCTGAAGGAGTGGTTGTCATTAACATTATGCCACTGTCGTCATCTTTAACACCAGGGTTCTGTTTTCTATAGTCCCTTGCTGCTTCTAGCTTGACTTTCAACTCATTCACTAACTTTGTATCACCCATAATTTCTGCTTTAACAATTTTAGCGGCTAATTTATTCATTTTTTCATCACTAAGATACAAAGAACTTGATGAACCTTTCTCAGATGATTCTTCTGATGGAACCTTCATAGTGGCTGACAAGCTTTTATCACTTAAACTTTCATTTGTTTTTGTGCCATAATCATGTTTATTTATGTAGTCTTGTTTTTCTTCCCTATTTTCATTTTTTCGCCAATTGTAATTTTTTCTTTCATCAACATTTCTGTCATCCCTGTGTTCATGCCTCGTTCTTGTCATTTGTTTACCCTTATTGCTTAGTGGTTTAGTATAATAATCGTCATCATCATCAGAAGGTTTCATAAACTGTCTTGATTTACAAAAACTTTCATGTGACTGAGGTACACCAGAACCACCATCTTTCCAATATGGATTTAATTCTCTTGAGCTTGTTGAAGGATTGTATGAATCTATATGTTTTTTGTTATCTTCTCGCGAAATTTTAACATCATCTTTTGTGTATGTTTTCAACATACCTGTCATTGACATCCATTCATCACGGTTTTTTGACGTACCTGTATCTTTTTCAACCCATTCATCCGACTGTGATGAACTGCTTGAAGACTCTGAATACTAAACGAAGGAAAATAATATTACAACATGTATTACAGGCTACTTAAATTGATATAGAAAAATAAACAGTTATGTTTAGCATTAAACTTACTGTTTTCTTTTTTGATTTTTTGTGTTTTAGTTTATCTTTCTTATGCTTCTTTTTCTTCTCTCGTTTCTCTTTCATATTTAAGCAATTTACGATTTTTAAAGCGAAATAAACATAAACATGCAACAAATGTATCAATTCATCGATATTATGAGCTTTGCCATCATTTAATCACAAATTGACATTTTCTGTCAAAATTACAAAGCAGAAACGACGATGCAGATAAGATGTCCATTATTACTAAAAAATTGAAAAGAATTGTGATGAAAAAGAACAAATAATTAATTGAAGTTAGTATTGAATTACTTTTTGATTTTAGAAGATCTATTTTTGTAATAAAGTTGAACAGATAATTCTAATTTCAGTTCAGAAACAGTCATTCCCGATTTTTAGGCAATTGTCATAAAAACGCCAACACACACACCACAAACATTCCATTCAAATTTGTCACACTTCTTCAACACTAACCAACAAGAGATGTACCCAATACTTGGTTATCTGGTACGCTTGCCATACTCACCACAATATCTATTAAGACCAGATATGCTCATAAATGTTATGATACACAATCTTATAACGATTTTTAATAAAATTCATTGTAAATATGCCCGCTAGTATTGGAGGCGCTTATATACGGAATATTTTAATATTTTCGCACTAATCTTGAAATGTGCGTATGAAACATGTTTAAAGCTCTTAGTAAAAACGAAAAATCTTGTTTGTTATTTTAATGAAAAGATTAAGAATGTTGGTTTTGGTACTATAAAAATTGTTACATCACTGTCACTGCAGGTGCAAGTGAAGAGGATTTTATGTTACCAGCTAGGTAACACAAAGTACCTTAAAATATATGTACCAGGTATCTAATCTATATTGTAGGAATGGCAAGTGGCAACAACATAAAGTACTTTGAAGCTTTGATGAAATATGAAAATATAATAAATATACGATAAATGCATATTTTCGCGATGAATTCAAAGATTGTATTGGAAAAGCTTATAAATTTATATTGTTTTCGATTAAAAGCATAGTGAAGTAAAGTGAAATTGAATTATTTTCATAACAGAACAGTACGTAATCATTACGTTTATTAAATTTGTGGATCATGCATGGCTATAAGTTGACTCCGCGGAAGTGATAAACTAATTGTTGAATTTTATAGACTTATGAAAATTATTGTTTAAAAGCCAGTGATTAACCGATGTTCTATGTTTATAACTTGTTAATGTAGTAAGCAGTGGCGTGTGCAGGATAGAAAACAGTCCCGGTGCAAAGTGAAAACTGTTTGTAATTTCAAGCTTTCTTTTTAAAGTTCGATGTTGTGATTTGCCATTTTAGTTCTTATTGAATGGGTGTGTTTCATGTGATTTAAATAGTAACAAGATATTTGAGTTTCTGAGTGTAATCAAAAGTGCTTGTTGTTTGTACAATATATTGCAACTTAAATAGAAATAATGTAAGTTAATAATAGTTACAGGTGAAAATTATTTTTCAAAATGTTTTCAAAGAAAAAGAAGAAGCCTTTGATTTCTCCACCGAGCAATTTTGAGCATAGAGTGCATACAGGCTTTGATAAGAGAGAGGGAAAATATGTGGGACTTCCATTACAATGGGCATCTTTAGTTGGCAGCAATCAGGTAATTTGAAATGCTCTAATTTTAACAAACTTAAAAACACTTCTATGCTAGATGCATACGGCTCAAGTGCATATTCAGTAAAAAAAAAAACTTTAACACAGCTAGGATCTTATGATATTATTTATGTTTTATAATATGTACCACAGTATTTTTAGCTGTCAGGAAAATGTCTATTTAAATATGAAAATCTATATAAGATAATAAGGTGACTTAAAAATCTGGCCCGGCTAGTAAAAAATATATTAAAATGATACCGTTCAAACAAATTTTAAACCTGTGGATTAACAATATGTTTCATGTCAGTACCTTTTTTTTTTTTGTAAAAATACTTACTAGACAAGTTTGTGGCAACAATTTTATTAGTAAAATTGAATGTGGGTTGAATGAGTAATTAATAGATTTGAGGTTAATCTGAGGGTTGTATGTTTTTAAAATTACCTTACAAAAAGTTGTCACCAAAAGTCATACAAAAAAGAGATTGTTTCTTTCCTTCTAATTTTCATTTATATGATTGAAGATTTTGCTGTATTATTTGTAATAAAACAAGATTAAAAAAACTATAATATATTTAAGACAGTGTGTAGTTTAAGATTTATTTAATTTAGGAATAGTGTAATCATATTTAATATATTTTAATGAAATACAGTCTTAATAAATACTCCTTTCATTTCAGATTTTGAAATCAACAAACAGACCTCTTCCTTTAGTTGACCCATCTGAGATTACACCAACAGAAATTTTAGATTTAAAAACCATAGTAAGAGGGGAGCATAGATCTGCTTCCGTTGCCTCAATGGTTCGTCCACCATCGACAAATCCTATAGTGATTAACACTCAACCAATACAAAATGGAGTTGTGTTACCAAAAACATCAAATGTGGCTAGATCAAACTCTCTAAGAAGTACAAGTCCTCCACGTATACGAAGAGATTTACGGAATCAAGCAAACGTTCCTCCCGCTGTACCTGAAGAATCACCACCAGTGCCTCCTGCACCACAGCAATATCCTAGTTTTAGACGTGAGCAAAGTAATTTTGCTTTAAAGAAATCAATACCTGAATCGCCCATTGAATGGACGCAGGCGGGGCAAGACGGGTTAGTGAGGGCAGGTACTGAGCCGAATGACAATCAGCCAACAACAATAACATACCAAAACATTCAGAATGCTAATGTACCATATCAACATAATCACCCGCCACAAACTCAGCCCACACCACTTGCAATGCAAGGCCTTAATGGCAATAATATTAGTATGGGTAAGTGATATTTTTCAAGGTGTTAACATTTAGGTCATTCGCTTTCTTTTAAATTACTGTAGTGTTGTTAAACTGTGTAATTGACTAGTTTTTTGGTTTTTCAACTTTGAATTCATAACCAGTGAGATAGTTTATTTTACTGAAATTCATTGAATCAATATTTTACTAATAAAATGTTTGAAAGTTTCTTTTTTTTTAAAGATTAATATTACATTTTCTGTGTAAAATAGTTTGTATTGATTTTAGCTGATACGTATTCGATGACACGACACCAACATGTTATGCCCCCCGGTGCGCCTTCCCATTTGCCACTGGCCGCATCTAAACATGAGTTGCGTTTAACCCATGAACAAGTAAGTTATATAACGAATGTATTCAGTACCTTTTATTATCTGTTAAAATTTTGTAGTCATATTCTTTTTGTCCAGTTAAAGGTCAACATTCTTGTATTATAATATAAATTTTTCTATATGAATGAAAGATTATTTCAATGGTAATAATTTAATAACTTTATTATACTTTTGATGGAATTGAATATAACCTTTTATTTTATCTAATTCATAGTCCAATCAATGGCATGCTTTATCATAATTCTTATCAACATTGCTGTTTATAATCTTACAGATCCAATTTACATAAATTCTATATAGATAGTTAATTTATATTTAAAAATATATATATATATATATATATATATATATATATATATATATATTTACTTCTACAGAAAGAAGCCAACATAGTTGCACTTAAAACTATGTCATTCGTTATTGAGGTTACACAACTAATGCACCGTAATAATGAATTTAATCCCCTTTCTAGTTCAGGGCAGCTCTCCGGTTGGTTGTGAGTGAAGGTGACCCGAAGGCAACTTTGGTCGGTTTCAATAAAATTGG